CTCTAGAGGTCTCTTCCAAACCTTGAAGATTCTGTGATTCTGTGAAAACACCTCCAAAATATATTCTGTCTGGAGAAATAAGACAAAACAAACCCTCCAGAAGATGCTTCCCCGTTGCACTATTCCTCTTCTTCAACAACACATTGTGCACAATGAARTATCCTCAGCTTTTCCCTCCTGCCATGAATCAGCCACCACACACAGCAACAGAAAGAGAGGGAAAAAAGGCATAAGAATAAACTGGATTTTAAGACTCCAAGAAGTGGCAGCCTGTCCAGGAAGGGCAGGACCTGAGCAGCATGGCAGTCCCTGGGAGCACTGTGCGTGCAAGGCTCTGTGTGCGCCTTCAACACACTGAATTATTTCTTGTGGACAATGATACAGGAACTGCTTGTGGCCAAGCCCCATCCAGCTGTATGCAGAACAACAGGCACCAGTAGCCTKGAAAAAGTAGCTCTCACAGGATTCTTCAGCCGTTCTTCTGTTTCCTCTTGGAAGAGCATGTCTAGTGAAATGGCAGTCGTATTCAGTGGTGAGCTCCTACCACCCTCTGACTCTAGCAACACCATTGCATGGCCACAGTCCACACTCCTGCATGTAGACTAGCTTTGGTCTCCTTCCCATGGGATATTTAGCAAAGTCTTGAATGCTTCTGAAGGCATTTCCTACAGCCTCTGCCTCTTGGGTTGAAATGCTGCCATGGACGGACAGCACCAAATACAGCCCAGCAGATCAAATAAGCTGTATCATTCCCTTTGTGCTTGGGTTTCACAGAGCTTGAATGCCAAGTTTGTTAAAACCTTGCTGCTATATWTTTGATTTGATTTGATCTTATTGCAAGGAAGTGCTGCGGCAGAAGATCCAGCTCACACACCCCTCTGCTGAGATGATCTCCTCTAATGCCGTGCAGATGAAAATATCACAGAACTGCAGTCCTAAAATCCATCTAAGTTTTTGTAACTTCTCAATGTTCACTGTATACCATGGACACCATCTTTTAACCCTTGCACTCAGAGTTAGGCTTTGGAGGCTAAGGATGTGATCGTGCTTGCTAGTTGGCCAGGCTGAGGAGGCAATGTTCTTACCTAACTTTAGTGAAGACAGCAGATCATTTATCTCATTTTGCTGAAAAGATGCTGAAACACCCGGGGAAGAGCTGCCAGCAGCAGAGATCTAGCTGGGAAATTTCTGGCCATCCATATTTCCATTTCAAGAGCCTCATTCCCTCCTTATTCTGYCCAAACTGCAGTGCATGGATAGGCACAAGACAACACAACTTCCTCAGCTTTGGAGTGCACAACTTCTTCTAGGACTATCTGTGGTGCATATCTCCAAAAATACATGCTGGAGCAAATGTGATCACCAGGGATCTCATGAGTTAGGACAGGACCTGAGGTGGTGTCAGCTGTTTATTAAGAGTATAATATTTGCCCCAGGGTGGTTCKCAGGGCACTGCATAAAGGATACTGCATCATCAAAGGGAAACAGCACCTAGGGCAGGTAATCAAATGGGAACAGACATCTACAGAAACCTTCTGAACAAGTTTTGTATTCCTCTAATCACACACATACAMACAAAAATTCATTCTCTCAGGCCTCCCAAGTAGTTTCTGTTACAAGCTTTGAAGGGAGGATCTTCAAAGAAAGGAGGGAAGAGCAGACACGGGCTGCCCCTTGCAGCTGGGCATTTCCCTGCCTTTCCTGTTCTTAATTACCCACATCTGGAATTTGCCCAGGCCCTGAATACACATTGCTATTTGATTTGGGCATGCAGTAGTTACAAGTGGAGCTTCTAACATGCCCAGCATTGCACTAACCCCAGTGCAAGCAACAAAACCACCCACCTGTGGTTATGAGGCGCTGACCCATATCACAAGCAGAAAGTCAAGAACTCATTAAAACTGAACACATCCCAAGCTTTCTTGGCTTAGTTGCTTGGTAGCAGACATGTCCAAGACAAATTCTCTACAGAGTGTCCCAGGTGCCTCATCATGTTTATTTGCAGTTGCAGACCTCCAGCAGCAAGGTTTATCTCCTCCTTCATCTTCCACCATACACCGAAAACACCACAGCATTTAGAAGATGATACTAGCAACATCACCCCCTAGGTCAGAGGGATGCTGTGGGCTGTGGAGATGTTCACAGTGTTTCGTTACTCTGTGGGTTCATGAGRGGTGCTGTGGTTCTGGCATAGCACTGGTTTTGGTGGGATCATTGCTTTTAAGCTCAGTACACCACAGTAATGGCATGAGCTTAGGGAGAGCGATGAAAGATTAACTCTTGGAAAACTAATTTTCTAGATTACCTGTCAATAAATGGCTAAGAAGATTGTATGCTTATGGCTGCTAACAATTAATAGGGGAAAGTATAAAGTCTGTTTCAAAGAAAAGACATTCCTTGAAAGTTGGCCACCTTCTATCCATTTGCTGTACATCTGACAGTCTTTACAACAGCAATATGTAATGGACTATCTGAAATTCGGTATGTGGTTGGAAACCTTGGCAGGGAACAACATAGAAATCTCACTATGGTTCATCTTCGTAGCAAGGAAACATTGGTGGCCTCTCTCTGAAAATTTATTTAAGCTCTAAAATGCTGAAAATCCCTCAGTGAGTGACTGCAGCCCCACTCTGCAGCCACTGACTTCCCTAATCTAATGGGTCAAATCCAAACAATAGCCATGTTGTCAGGATGTCAGCGAAACAGGAAGCCTTTCAAGACTTTAAATAGAGAATTTAATAGCGTAGCACCTAGGTGGTTTGGGCAATATGGCTTTCCCAAAGACCACTTTCATCAACTGATTTCTAGGCAACAGCACTAGAAAAGGTTTGTGAGTAGCTCTAAGAAAAGAAACTTCAAGGTGTCAAAAGCATATGATGTACTACAAAGCACTCTGAGGGATATTCAGACTTAATTCTGCAGGTTTTTCTTTCCATAGGACCAGCTAGGTGCCTGTGGCATTTATTACATGTCTTTTCCATATGTATAACCAAAAAGATCTTAGTATGTTATAACACTGATTGCCAGGAGTCCAGTATAATACTGTTAAGGGTTTGGATAACACAGGTACAGAGCGTGATTAAAAATAATTGAAAGAAATGATCCACTCAGTTCTAGCAACCAGAAATTTTCCAAAGGAGCATAAGGGCATGTGCTCCTCACTGTGTAACTTTGGCTTTCCTCTGGACTGCAGTTTCACTCAGTATGAGTTGTCTAAAAGGCTCAAAAAACACCAATACCTCACTTAAACGAAAAGATAAGGTATTAAGTATTTTCTCTTTCTTTTATTTACTCATGCTACTTTTCCATATTCATTATATTTATTACTGTATTTGTAAAATACACTAAAATTCCTGATTCAAACCACTTTAGTAGACTTTATTTATCAGGAATATGTGAATTTCTCATCCACTCTTTATTTTTGTAATATGTTTCAAAAGGGACAAATGAAGCTCAAGGAGCTATAAAGGATGATTTTGCTTTTACAAGTRGAAATTATCGAGCCCATTATATGTTAACTTCATTAAAATATTGTTCCCAAAGTGAACAYTACTTTGAGTATTCATTTTCCAACAAAAGCAAAACAGACCCGTTCATCTTTGGCAGGTCCCTCCTCAAGCTCAGCTTATGCTTCCTGGATAGATTATTTGCTAGTTTCTAGCCTCAGCCATAACAATAAAAGTGTCTTCTTTATAAAGCATATTTAAGCTAAAAATGTATGCTGAACATGTGTAGGCTATATTGAATCTCAAAATTTCTGCCCAAATGGTCTTTGCTTGAAAAACATCACGTTACGGGAAGCTAATGGGGAAAGCAGGTTGTGGGTCCATGGCAGAGGGCCTTGCAGCTCCCTGAATTTCCACCACGTGCTGAAAGTCCTCAGGAGGCTGGGCCTCTGCTTGGGGACACGAGTCTCCTGGTTTGTGGGTGAGTTAACCAACAACCAAGGGGCCAACAGGCGTCAAGAAATCTTGTGGCAACAGGGAAAGGTGGCTGTTCCTTATAATCTAGGGGAAATAATTAAATATTTCCTTCTTCTTGCATCAACTTTTTTTTTCAGAATTGCTAGCTTCCAAATTCAGAGTGCAATTTCRCAATTAAATCTGTTCTCTTCCCTTTTCTTTTTTTCTTTTCTTTTTTGACATTCCTCCCAAGTTGTGAATTCCGGCAGTCTCCCTCTGAGGCCACAGTGTTAGGATCAGTGGAAAAGGGTTACAAGGAAGGTGGTTTCCCTGGAGCTGTGACCAGTACCACAACTCTGGTGGCCCCAAGAGGTCCCTGGGGAAGGTGAGAGGAGCTGGAGCTCTGGAGGCAGCTGATAATGCCCCAACCCCACGTTTATTTATGGCACCTCCTAAGGGACCCAGATGTCCCCAGCTCCCCACACTGCCCCTCCAGTGCAGTCTGGTCCCTTCTCGCCCTTCACAGCGTAGCTGGGGTTGGRGTTTGCTCTCCATCACACACCATTCTGCTCAACGCCTATGAAACTGCAGTCTCGGGAGTAAGTTTTTGAGAAAGAGTATGGATTGAAAACATCCCTGCCATCACTGGGTCTGCTGCTTTCAAATCGATCACAGCATATTATTTTATCCTATTTAAAAATGTGCTTTGTGGGCGCAGGGGAGTGGAGGAAATTATTGACAAGAAACATAAATGCCGGGAATTTAACTTGATGCATGGTATTAATCCAACAAATGTGATTCTTATCCCCCACAAAACATCTTTATTTTCCTGTTGTTCAAACTTAAAATGAAACAATCTCATTATTTTGACTTCTCATGTCAATTTGTTGATAAAAACTGATTTTTAAGGATTCTAGAATACAGATCACTGCAATGATTTGAAGATTAAAGCTGTCACGTCTCCTGATAAACGGAAATACAAATAACCAAGTGTATTTAGGCTATTGACCAGACGCTAGCCCTGAGCCAAGCACAGTATGAATGTCTTTATGTTTGCTGGCAGTAAACCAGCTTCTCTCTTCTCTCTGTTTTGCACAGTCCTACTAAGCCAATCCTCACTAGAATGAGCACAAAATAAAATGAATAACAGCTTTTGTACATCAACAACATTAAAATGGGAAGAAGCTTGGGAAAGGGCCTCCGACGGAGAAGAATGCTGATAAGTGTGAAACTGCCTGATTGGTAAGCGCTACCTTCTAAACATAGACCAGCCAGGCACAGAAGAGATTTTCGGAAGAGAAATGCAATCATGGATTACACACCAGCTCATCAGAAACTGTTGCTGACTGCAGCGCTCAGAAGACATGCATGAAAAGTCACATTTGGGGAATAAATTAAAAGGGGTGTAGTTGTTGCTAGATAAACATATGTAATATATATGCATTGAAGAGGTTTGTAAATGTCATTTTTTTTATTCAGATAAAGAAAAGCAAAAAGCTTTAAAACCTTTCATAGTAGAGAGGCAGTTAACTCCAGACTATTCCTATCCCAGTAGCCAAGAAGTTGATAGGAATTAGCATTAAATTAGCATTTATAAATAGACTCTCTGAATGTTTTCATCAACTAGTGGAAAAAACATAACTTTTACTGCTACGTTCCTGCACTTCGTTTACTTCACTGTATAATAAGTTGACTAAAAATGTAAAGCTTCTCAATTTTTACTGCATACGTGCTCCAATTAATCTATGTCTGTAACAAACTTAAGACTGAAAAATTATTTCTGACCTAGATTCTAGTTCTATGAAGCATATATAAGATATGTCTCACAGAATGTCATAATACTCTAATTTCCCAAACCGCATAGAGTGATGAAATAAAAGCACCTGATTTTTTTTTTTTAATAGGAGAAARTAATTTACCCCTTAAATATAACATGCAGCTCCCTGCTGCAAGGACATTTCCATAGCTTTTCTGCCATATAACCACTGTGCAACATTAACCTGTGCCACAGGCAATTAGACCAGGTGACCTAATGATCCTTTCCAGCCTTAAAATCAACTGTGATAGTAACAGAACAAGCAAATTCACACCATGAAGAGGTGCGGGTGGCTGGGACGGGTGCCCAGGGTCCACCCGTGGGCCCCCAGCTCAGCATCTGCACCGCCAGCACCACCAGACACGTGGGGCATCAAGAAAGACCTGATAGACATGAGCAGTGAGGGCTGTGAGATAAGAGATTTGCAGGGGAGGGAAGCAGATGAGAAGCTGTACTTGATCATATTGTCAATAAATGAGCACAGGGATTTAGATAACTCTCTTATCTAACAAGGCACCGGTGTGGCCCTGCTCACCTCAGAAACTGGATGCCAATGRGGATGTTTGGCAAGCAGTTTATGGGTGAATCTGGGAGGGAGTTTTAGAAAACACTTCCTTTGAACCCAAACCTGCACATGTAGCTGTGTGCAGGAGATGCTCCTGACATCCTTGGGAGCACAGTTAGAGCTGATGGGAAATCCCACCCAAACCAACCAACCCCCACAAGTAAATTCCCAGCACCTGCTGCTCAACTAAAGATGAAAAAATAAAGTATAATTTCTACACAACACTGCATAAACTCACTAAGCTCCCACTTCCAGCAGATATTTCAATGTGATTAATTCATCCAGTGTTAGCTGGGAAATGCACATCCCTAAAGGCTGAGGGCACTGGGGAGATCCTGGTTGTGCTACCGCATCGCTGCCGTCTTCTGCTCCTTCGGTTCACCTATACCCCAAGTTACTGCAATCATGGCACTTCTGCTGTGACAGAAGCTATAAAAACAGGGTTTTTCTGTACTATATTATTTTGTTACGGATTTCAGAGTTTTGCGTCTTGGTGACTGTGTCATGTAAAGCCCTTTCTAAATATAAATGTCGAAAAAATGTGTCATTGCAAGATCTTGCAGTCCTGCCAGGACAGCTCAGCCAAAAGATACCATTTGTATGTAAACAGAAGCAAAGACTTTTGCGGACGTTCATCACTAAATGTTGATTCAGTATTAGTAGTATGTTTTTATCTTTATAAATGTTACTGCTTTCCCACTCCATTCCATCGTAATGTGTCAACTGCGTGTAATTTTTTTTAAAGTCAACAAACTGTAAAGAAAACTGTTGGAATACCTGATTTTCTGTAAAAAAAAAAAGAAAAAATAACAACAATAATTTTTGTTACTTTAAAGTATGCTTGGTATTAAAGTACCTAATAAAGTTCAACAATGAATTTTGTAGCATACTAAAATAAAGCGTGATAGTGCTTTTCTCCAGCTTATCTGTGGTACTGGCTGCTATTGTTGCAATTCCTGTCCTTCTCCTAAACACAGGCTTGCCCCCCTCTTACCTTCCTGCACCTTCCCAGATTCCTGGGGTTAGCCAAGTCCAGGCAAAATCCGGTTTCCTGCTGAGGGTTCAGCCACATGCTCTAGGTTTTCRGGTTAAGAGCCACTCTCTTAGGTCATCATCATCATCCTTCTGTACCTGACTATATTGGAGCAACAACATACAGTTCCAGGTTACTTTGCTACATGTTAATTTAGTTTCTAACTAGAGGATGGCAATTGCAAATAAGGTACTTTAGAGTTAATTATGATTAAATAAAGAATTGCCAGGGTGATGAAATCATATCCATTTAAATAGACAATGCACTTCAGTTATTCCTCAATACAGCAGAAATCTCAAACAAGCAACCTGGAGTCCCAGCAAAGCTCAGGAACTGGTTCTAATTTCATTCATGAAATTAGAATGAAGACAAAAACCCTTAAGCCTTCAGGGCTGCCTCGGGTGTGCATTGCCCCAGAAGATGCACCAGGAGGAGACAGACACTTTGTTCCAGCAATAGGTGCTGGACCTGCAGCCCTCATGGTGCTGATGTGACGGCTAGAAATGATTGGGATAGRGGAGTTTAGCAGTTTCCATACTCCAAGTTTCTGCCTTATTTTGATGTGAGCATCTGGATAGCACCATCCAGCTCTGCTTATCCTAGGGAGGGAAATGTCACATTGGGCCCAACAGCTTTCTGCTCGCTTTCACTCTGCTAATCAGATGTCCTTCATACATTTAGGAAGTTTTATTAGTTTTCAATTGCAAAGCTGCTTCTCTGGGGATTTGAAATGAAGGAAGAACTACCTTCTTTGTAATGAAGGAAGAAGCAGCAACAACAACAAGAAAAAAAGGCAGATTTATCTTGCTATTTTTTTATATCAAAAAAAAAATCAGTTATATGCTCAGCTGTTTCCAAGCTGTGGCTGTTGTTGGAGCTGGCAGTAGTTGAATGCATTAGCTGAGAGGCCACACCTGCAGTGATGACCCACACTGACTTGCCATCCTCATCCGATCAGAGCAGCATTTCCATAGTTTCACAGCTGAAGGTGATCTAGAATATCTAGCATAACTCATTCCCTACAATCAGGTTTCCCCAAGGGGTTTTAGGACAGAAAGGAATTTTGCTCTGTTTTCAACAACACAACAAATGCCAACGAGCAAGAACTAGCTCTCCTATCCATCTTCATCTGCTTTCCTCCCTTAATTTAGTAAAACCAGTAGGAATGTCATGGGTATATTCTGGACTAAAGCAAGTGCCTGCTGTATCTGTGGGGATGCTCAGATGGCAAGAGAAAAGCATGGAAAATGCCCTGATGCCCAGGCAATGAGATGAGATGGAGGGCATGAAAACAAGGGAATTTGGGGGGAGAGCTTTTAGACCATATCAGCTGCAACACACGTCACCAAGAAGACAGCAATGTTATTCAGTGCAGCAGAGTTCCCTGAGCACTTTGGAAGGACAAAGAATAAAAGAACTCCAAAATTCCAGGAGAGCTTCCAGGTTAATATGTGCTGCCACTGGCTTTCAGTTTTAACTGCACTGCAATACAAAATTTCTCTTTTGCTGTTTTTAATTAATTTTACATCCAGGAATCTGGAAATTGCTCAGCCGCAAGACAACGCAGGGATGCTGGAAGCAGAGCGCTGCGCATTGTGCATAGCTGTGCTGCCATCTAACGGGGCTTTACCTGCCAGCTGCTCGAAGTGCAGCACTGCCTTTGTGTTTATAGAAACTGGGATCATAAAAATAGCATTCTGCTTCCCAGAAAAAAAAAAAAAAAAAAAGAGAGAAAGAAATANAGAGAGAAAGAAATAGAGCGGCCTAAGAGGTAAGCAGCACCATCCAGACTGCTGCCCTGTGTTCCCCAGGGACAGTCGTCTGCTCGTCTGGTGAGTATGACTACAAATCCTCTTTTGCCTTCTCAGGCAACGATGGGGGTGGTGATGACATTTTCTTGGGTGAGGATGACATTTTCTTTCCTCTTGACATATGACATCCTTTTAGGCATTCGGGTGCRCTCAGCGATGGCCGTGAGATACGCTGCCTCTCTCCTGGTTCACTGCAATCTTGCTGCATTATTAAGGAATCATTAGTAGACTTCTACTTTTCCAGTTTGTAGCTCACTAACAGTTTACCAGATGCTGTTCCAAATTCTTTACTACACAGATGGTTTGATAGACTATATAGACTTGTTCTCCACAAGTGATTTTCTGTAGATCCTCTCTCAATTTCTTCCTAGACAGCTGTTCTGCCCATTGCATTGAATCACTTACCTAGAACCCATGATGCTGACGGGTCAGTCAGGATGAACATGGTCTATATAGAGCACTCAAATCAATATAAAGCAGCTTGTAGGAGGACTACCTTCTGCGATGACTAGAGAAGAGCAAGCAAAGAATCTCTCAACTGTATCCGACCCTCTGAACTCTACAGAGCAGACTGAATTTGTAAATTTGAGCAGTGGGCCCCACTTCTCAAGGAACAGGARGACTCAGCAGAGTACAGGTCACCTTGGGAAGAGAGCAGGGAAATATGGAAATATGGCTATGGAAATAGCTCAGGGGTTGAGCTGAGCCTTGGGCCAACATGTGAGAGACCTCACAGAAGAGATGGGACTGGGAAAGGAGAACGGGAGCTCTGAGAGAAGGAATCCCATACACTGCATTAGTGAGACCTTCCTAAGCCCTCCAGACCCACTCTGAGCTTCAGCAGAAGCTGGATAAGAGGCTTGTTCATGAAGCTCTCCATGGTGTTACTGCCACGGGGAAGAGATGGAGGGATGAAGGAGCAAGAATGCAAAGCATCAGAAAGAATGGAAAAGTCAGGTCACTTGAAATGAACTCCTGTACCAGCAGATGTTTACTGGTCAGCATTCCTCCAGATCACCCTGTTGTAGCCACAGAAGTTAAACTAAACATGCGTGGTGAGCTACAGGTAAATAGCAGGGGACTCACCAGTATTCCCAGAGGAGAMAGAACATGAAAAATTGATAGTCCCTAAAGGAACAGGACGTCAACTTCAGGACCTACTCTGATGTCATTTGCTGTGAACATACAAATGACATCTAACCAGCATGAGACTGGTTAGATTTACCAGACTGAACGCTGGGAGAGGAAAAAGGCCCTAGAAGAAAAACAAACAAGCAAAGAGTCTAAGGGCCATGAAGACAGTAACACTGAACAAGAGCATGCTGTGAGGAGCAGCCTCTTCCTCTTGAGGGCAGAGGAAAAGGCTTCACAACCCCTAGAGGCAGCTAGAGTCAGAAATAGTTGGGGAACAGAGTGTGCTAAAAGGAAAAGGCCTGAGGAGGTGACAAAGTCCCAAGAAAGAGACTGGGAAAGGTCCAGGGTCAGGATTGGGGTTCCCAAGGAGCTTCTCATGAGGCAGTTCCCAAAATGATAAGCAGGATATCAGCACACTTGCATTTACCACGCATTTCATGCTGAGTTCCCTGAAATATACTACAGGGTCTTGTCAGAGGCATTAGACAACAGGACGTCACTGCATGTATTTAAGCCAGTTGCATGGCTCTGCCTGCTGCTTTTGCAGAACTGGAGTCACTGTTTCCTTTTGCACTCTAGGGAATTACCTATCACACCAGAAAACATTCTGTCTGGCCAGTAAATTACAGTGAGACTCTATGGCCAGTTGTCATTTTACAAAATAAAATACGAATTTACATGTCTTTCCCTTTTGGCTGCTTCTCTATCCTTACAAGACATTCCAAAAGTTGAGGAGCAAAATGTGAATAATTATTATTTAAAATAATAAGATGATAATAATAGTAATAACAGTAATAAATATCCATGCCCAATATACCTGAAAAATTCACAAACACAGTCTGCTCTACTGGTTTTAGTACCTGGTGAAAGTGGCATATTGGGGGTTTTTTTGTAAGAGTTATGGGRGGGATAAAGAGTCTGGATAAGGAGCTTTTACTGGCTGGGAAATGTAGAGGGAACCCTCAGACACCAAGCTGCATGTCTGAGAGGCTCAGAGCCACAGCGCTGCAGAATTATTCATGTTGGAAGGGACCTGGAGAGGCCTCTAGCCCAACCTCCTGCTCAAAGCAAGGTCAGCTCTGAGCCTAAGCCTTTCTCTGATCTGTTCTTATAACCTCACAAAGGTAGAAACTGCACAGAACCTCTGAACAAGCTGCTCCAATGCCTAGTTAGCTTCATAAATGAGGCAATAATGAAGTAAATATTAATCAGGACAAGCAGGCTTGTGACTTCCGAGCTGTTGCTATAATGTATGTTGCTCTGTTCTCCAGTGAAACCATTCCAGTCCTCATCCAGTGTTTTTCTAACCCTTGGATACAGGCACAGAGGTCAAACTTTAATATATGCACAGTGCTAACTTGTGAGTTTCAGATTATATTCTTGCAGCAGTTGGAAAGGATGTATTTCACCCAAGTTTGCACAATATATCTAAAATAGATAAAGGAGAAATGGATTTTCCCCCTAGTTTTATCACTGTGCTGGAGGAATAATATAGATATCTAGACCAAAATGTAAATTATTGGTCTGCAGTCCTCATRTTCACAGCTGTGCTTTCTGCAGAGCTCCCCAGCCAAGAAGAGCCAAGCCATGGCTACCAGAGCCATGCCTGCAGCCCAGGTGGCAAATTCAAGAATTGTGGTTGGTCAGTACTACTCTTTCTTTGGTTTCAGGATGTGTAAAAATATAGATCTTTCTGAAAACCATACTGTTTAAGGGTAAAGTGGAAGAGCCGTAACAGGATATCAGGCTAAGCTGGAACACGCTGTTATACAAATCTGCTGTTGAGGTCCACACTGAGGCTAAGCTGGAACACACTGTTACACAAATCTGCTGTTGAGGTCCACACTGATGTCAAAAGTGATGCATTCACTCCTTGTGCTTAGGTGCAGCTTGGTGGAGGTAGAA